AGATCAAACACATTATTTACTTCCAGTACTCTTGTAAACTCGGTCCAGCAACAGCAAGAAGCAAGAAACAAGACTGAACTTCCTTGCAGCAAGAACTGTTAAGATAACTGGACGCAAGGATAAAAAATGGGATTTACGTCCGGGAAAATTAGATCAATAATCGTCTTCTTGACAATCTTGTTATACTGTTACCAATGGGAATTGTTAACTGTTAGAAAGGCCAATTTCCTTTCAAGAATTTTGACTCTTTTTCTATCACCATCTGCAACTTGAGAGAACACGGTAATGTCATATTACGTTGCCTGGATAAATGATCGTTTATTAGCAACTGAGAAATATTAATAAAAACAATATCCGTAAGAAACACGAACTGACACACACACACACACGCGCACACGAACACACACACACACACACACACACACACACACACACACACACACACACACACACACACACACACACACACACACACACACACACACACACACACACACCCCCTAGCACTTAGGGTCAGTAAGTCCCCCTCCAGGCATCGCTGCAGCGCTCTTGCAACGTAATCCAGTAATCCACCGGATCGGCGAAGCGTTTTTGTCCCGCTCGCACAGACGATCGAGTGAAAATGTCACATCCAGCCTTGCCGCTACGAGCCACAACCACACCCACGCCCCCACACTGGCACGCACTCCGACGCCCACAAGGCCGCCCGCACCCGCGCGTCTGCCCCGCAGGCCGATGCCTGATACAAGGCGGAAATATTTCGATGTCGTGACCTCGCCAAGTTTTTTTTTCCAGAAGATTCGACTAATATTCTTTTGTTTCAGATTCTTTCACATCCAAGACACTAAACACGAAGGATATCAGATGGTTGGAATAACAATTCGTCAGCCGAGAGAAAACAAAAAACAAATAAAATCCCAGACTTTAATCCAGAAATTTCGACTGATCAGCGTCCTTGCATTCCCCAGGTTTCCTACGCTTCCTATGTTCACCAAACCACAGATTCCTACACGCCCATAACGCACATACACATACGCACATGCTCACAGATTCTCAGACAGACAAACAGGCAGGCGCGCACACACACGCACACGCACAGGCGCACACGCACACACCCACAAGCACACACAAACACGTCCTTGCGCCTCCTTCACCTGTCGAGATAAAAAGAAAGGAAAACTCCAACACATCTTAATTTCCCCCAGAAAGCTACTTATTTATTCTTGGCTCTCGCGGGATCCCAAGTATTGTCTCGATGCGCCAAACGGGTTCCTCGCCGACGCTGTCCCGGCAAAAACTCGACGCGGTTAAAAATTCGGCGAAAAGAGAGGGTTCCTCCAGTCGCCCAAGTACGCCTCGCCGACCCTTAGACCCTTTTCGGGGCAAAAAGGAGCACCTGCGCCTCAACCCGGAAATAAGCTACTGTTGCTAGACCCTTTTTTAACATTTCCTTTTTTTGTTTTCTTTCGTATGGTAATTGACCCAGTTCTCACGTCATTACGAACGATACTCTTGGATAATTTCTATTTTCTTTTCGTAAATTTGGCCGTCGAAATGAAATGTTTTTTTACGATTCATAGATAACGAAATGAAATGGAATCCGGAAATCAGTCTTTGCGCGGCAAACAGTGCAATTTACGTTAACCCAGAGCGCGAAACGAAACATTTTGGTACTTTAAATCTTAAGAATGAATAAGGAACTGTATAGATAAATGAAGTGACAACCTGATAAACATCACGAACAAAACAGATGAGTAAAATATATATACGAGAAATTGCAATTTTTAACATACTTTCTGTGTGTGTGTGTGTGTGTGTGTGTGTGTGTGTGTGTGTGTGTGTGTGTGTGTGTGTGTGTGTGTATACACGCGTATATGCGTGTGTGTGTTTTTCCTCTTTTTCGTCTTCCTTTGTCCACCCGAACTACTTATCCCATACCAAGAGCTGCCTTGATGGCTGAGCGGTTCTGCTGGACCATACAGTTAACCTTGAACTATCCTTGGGGGAAAATGTAATTCTCACCATGGAGCAGGAAGGAGGGAGGCATAGGAAGAGGAGGGAGAAGAAGGAAGAGGAGGAGGAGGAGGAGGGGAAAGAAGAAGTGGAGGAGGAGAGGGAGGAAAAAGAAGAAGAAGAAGAAGAAGAAGAACAACAACAACAACAACAACAAGAGGAGGAGGAAGAAGAGAAGAAAGAGGAGGAAGAAGGAGAAGAGAGAAGAAAGAAGGAAGAGGAAGAGGAGGAGGATTAGGAAGAAGAAAGGAGGAGGAGGAGGAGGAGAGGAGGAGGAGGAGGAGGAGAAGAAGAAGAAGAAGAAGGAAAAAGCGATGCATGGGAGAGAGGAGAGATTAAGAAGAATGAAATAAAGGACTGAAAACAAAGAAAAAATACGGCCAAACACTGCAAATGACAACAGGTCTTTAATAACCATAACATCCAACGGGTGCTTTGGTTATGCTAAGTGAATTGAAAAGAAAGGAAGAAAAAAAACAGATAGGCGCTAAGAACGAGATGGTGACGAAATTAAAGAAGACTCTGACACCAACCCCAATATCTCTCAAGCTTGCAATATTGCAGCGTGAGAAGTGCGAAGCTCCAACCCCCCTCCCCTCCCCCTCCGTCCCTTCACTCAACGAGATATGTGCGAGCGGAGTGAAGAAAGCGCTTCTGGGAGTGATTATGCGCCTTGGAGGGGGGGGGGGTGGATGGGAGGAGGGAAGAGAGAGGATGGGGATAGGGAGGGGGAGGAGAGGGAGGAGAAGAGGATGGGGATAGGGAGGGGGAGGAGGAGAAGAGGATGGAGGTAGGGAGGAGTGGATGATGAAGAGGAAGGAAGGATAATAGGGGGAGGAAAGGAGTATGGGAAGAGGAAGAGTAGTAGGGGAGAAGGGGAGATGAGGATGGAGGGAGGAGGAAGAGGAAAGGAGAGGGAGGTGAATAGGATGAAGGATGGAGAGATGAGTAGAGACATTGGAGGAGGAGAAAAAGAAGTAGGAGGAGGAGGAAGAGAAGTAGGAGGAGGAGGAAGAGAAGTAGGAGGAGGAGGAAGAGAAGGGGGAGGAAGAGAATGAGGAAGAAGAGAAGAAAGAGAAGGAGGATGAGGAGGATAAGAAGAAGAACAAGGAGGAGGAAAGAAAGAGGGAGAAGAGGAAAGGGAAAGGGGGAGGGAGGGCTCCATGACGGCTCGAACGCCTGCACTTTCTCCTCGCCGCTGTCATCTCCGTCTATGACACTTGCCTCTTTACGAGCTGCTTTCTGGAGATTTAAATACTTTGGCCCTTAGTACTTCGAGGAAAAAAATGTTTAGTCTTTGTACTTTGTTTTTATTTGCACGAGAGGGAGAGGGAGAGGGAGAGGGAGAGAGCGAAAGCGAGAGGGAGAGGGAGAGGGAGAGAGCGAAAGCGAGAGAGAGAGAGAGAGAGAGAGAGAGAGAGAGGGAGAGGAGAGGGAGAGGGAGAGGGAGAGGGAGAGGGAGAGGGAGAGGGAGAGGGAGAGGGAGAGGGAGAGGGAGAGGGAGAGAGGGAGAGGGAGAGAGAGAGAGAGAGAGAGAGAGAGAGAGAGAGAGAGAGAGAGAGAGAGAGAGAGAGAGAGAGAGAGAGAGAGAGAGAGAGAGAGAGAGAGAGAGAGGTTGCCACGCTGCGTTGAGACGGCAGGTGTTGTCTAGTGGGTGGAGTGTCTACCTCACCTCGGCGTCACGCTCCACTGACCCTCTCCACCCTCATCTCTCCCCTTCTCTCCCCATCTCTATCATCCCTCCATCCGTATCTCCCCAAGTTCTTTTACTCCAGCAATGAACGATCCGCTCTCCTCCTCTCCACTCCAGCGCACGAGATCTACTCTTGTTTCTCTCCGCAAGGACAGACCCATCGCCGCCGCCATTTTAGCATCGTTACCCCTCGCAACAACGGCGTGTCTCTCCGCTTTCGTTTTCTTCTCCACACGACAGAATCCGCCTGCGATACACGCTCGTATGATTTTTTTTTTTTCTAATTCTACAGCCACATGAAACCTTGCCGAGGAGGTTTAAATGTTCATCCACTCAGAAGTTTACGACATAATCGGGCGTTATATGTGCATCGTCGCTCTCACTGCGCCCCTCGGCACTCGCTGCTGTCCCGTCCGTCATGGCGGGAAAGTGACGAACCGCCCGCGGCCATTTAAACAGATGACTTAAAGCCACGCGGGGAGGAGAAAGGCAGATGCAAGTGCGAGATTATTTTTAAGACAATCCCCTGAGCGTGGCAAGGCAATGGCATGGCGGGGCGTGACATGACATAAGCTCCCCCGGCAGCTCACCACACGCCCTCCGCACGCCAGGCGGGGCTGCCCCACGCCCATCACAGTCTTCCGCGAGAGCACCTACGGGTTGGCAGAACTTCCCTAACAGGTCGGTTCTTCCTCTGCGTTGCCTGCGGCGTCCTTCAGGAGTGACAGAACCTGCAGTCCTCCCACTGGACGCCGCCCTACGCATCGCGCTGCAAATCTGCCCTCCGGAACGGTAATCGTTCCCTCCTTCACTCCCTCCCTCCCTCCCTCCCTCTCCCTCCGTGTCCCTCACCCCGCCCCTTTCCCCCAGGGTCCCCCGAGAGCGTGTAGCGTGTGAAGCGGCCCCAGCACGCGACGTCAGACCTCCTCTCTCTTCTGACCGACACCTCCTGCTCGTATTGGAAAAAGGGGGGAGAAGGGGGGGGGCGACCTCCTAGGGTAACCCCACCTCCCTCGGCACTACTTGTGCACTCAAGACTCACGCCAACACACGCTATCTAGAAACACGTTAGAAATACGTTTACTTAGTTTCCATGGTTTTATGCATGTCTTATATTTAGTAACTCTTGATAGAGGGTAGGCCTATATATATTTTTTTTATGTAAGAAACATAAAACTAAATCTAAAAGTGCGAAATGTATCCTCTGGAAGAAAAAAAAGTCGGCAAAATGATGAACCAAAAGAGAAAACAGATAATGGCCTAACGTCCAAGTTAAGCTGAGCTCGAGACTTACTTGCACACGCCGCCACACCGCGGGACCACCTCCACCTCCGCTTCACTCATGGTGGATATGAGTAACAGCTGAGTAAACACACACTGAGCTTCACACAGGACAGTTTCGCGCACACGACACAAAAATGTACACACCGGAAGAATATATACTCGGTGGGGAATGTATACACACACACAAACACACGCAGTTGGGAAAGTACACGGGAATCGAGCGCGCCCGAGCGGGAAATACGCGCGGACGCCAAGTAAATGCAGTCGACACACGAATCGAAACTTTTAAAAAATGACACTATCCGATTGGGCTCCGGCCGGGAACGACTGTTCCGCACCGCCTTCCTTGGTGGAAACAAAAAGGAAAAAAATACGCCGAGAGCAAGAGCAAGAGCAAGAGCAAGGAGCCAGGCAAGCACGGGCGCACGTGTGGCCTGACCAAAGTGCTGCGACCAACAGGCGGCGACGGGCTCGCATGGCCTGCCAGCGCCCGGACTTTGTTGGCGACCTTCTGAACAGTTACCTGGCGACTTGTTCCAGGCAAAAAGCGACGCCGCAGCCCCCCCCCCTCCCCTGTTTACTCTTAGAATTCCAAAGGTGGAGGTTGGCAGCGGAACCTCGCCAGGCAACGCCGGGACTCGTGCGGGCAGCGGTTGTAGGGATGAAATGGGATTTGTCATCGTTATATAATGTTTTCTTATTTTGTATCTTAATGTTGCATGTTTCGACTTCCTTGCCCGAATATATAATTGTTTTTCTCTCTTTTCCTCATAAATGACTGTACATCCGCAAGTATTCCTCACACCCATACCCATACGCACCGGACAACTCGTGAAAATAATCTAAATAAATAGAGAAGGATATACAATGCTCTGCCCACCAGTGAATCATTCAGCGAGGAGAGACGCCGTGGCGGAAGCGATAGTTCGTGCATCCATTATGAAATGGCCACGGGTAGGCCTATGCATTCCAGAGAAGATAAACCTGCCTATCGAGTCATGTGATGCGGTGATTCCTGTGCATCAAAGGTCACGAATTAATAAATCAGGATTTCAGAATTGTTATCCGGACTACAACGCGACCATGTATCCTGTTCTATAATAGTTAAGTTGTATTGATGAAGGCGACGTCCAAGCAATTCTGATAAAATGTAGGAATAACACGAAGATAATTCCCCCTGTAATTCTCTTAGAAATAACCCCAAGGCCCAATCTGGCACGCGTGAATTAACCTCGACTCCACCTATAATTAGTCTCTGAAATAGATCGATCCTTGCCAAAATCACTCCCTGCCCCCCGCCCTCCTCCTGCTACCCCCTAAAAAGTGAAAAGAAGAAAAAAAGGAAATAATATCTACTCTTCTCAAAAGTTACCCCGAAACATAATAATAAATAATAATAATAAATAATAATAATAACAATAATGATAATGATAATATTAATCTACTCTTCATCCCCAAAGTTACCCCTCTTAAAAAAAAAGAAAATAATAATAATATTTATAATCTATTCTTCATCCACTCCCCCCCCTCCCCCCCCAAAAAAGGAAAAAGACACACGAAATAACCGCTCCTCTCCGTCCCAAGATAGAGCGAGTCCAGAAATACCGCCCCGGCGTACGCACTTCCGAGGGAGATCGCCGTGAATGTCAGCGTGGGCGTCCGTCATTCTCGAAACACGCCCGGTGGTAATTTATCGATCAATACGCTATCTGTTGCCCCCCCCCCCTCTCCTGCCTCTCCCTGCTTCATCCTCTCTTTCTCTCTTTCTCCTTCATTATTGTTCTTATTCCCTCCCTCCCTCCTTCCTTCTCCCGTTCCTCCTTCCTTCCTTCCTACCTGCCTATCTGTCTGCCTTCCTCTCTCCCTCCCTTCCTTACCCCCATTGCTTCCCTCTTCCCCTCCTTCCCTCCTCTCCCCACGGGGCCTGTGGCTAACCCCGCCATGCATGTTCACGCCCTTTGTAGCCATGCAACCCCGTGAAACTGCACTTTTTGCTTTTTTTGACTCCTTCTTTCTCCCCTCTTTTTTTTCTTCTTCCCTCCCGTGCCATTCGTTCTTATATCTCTCCTCATCTTTCTGGATTTCCTTTCCTTTCTTTCGCTCCCCTTCCACCGTTCTATCCTCCTTTCTGCCTTCTATCTTATTCTCTCCTCCCCCTCTTTTCTTCTCCCCTTTCCATTCTTCCCTCCCTCCCTCTCTCTCTTCTCCCTTCCATTCTTCCCCCCTCCCTCTCTCTCTTCTCCCTTCCATTCTCCTCTCTCTCTCTACCCCCCACTCCTCCCCCTCCCCCTCCACTCCCTCTCTCCCCCCCTCCCTCCCTCTGGCCTTTAAATCCTCACTCCTCACATCTTAAAACCTAGGAGTTCACCCTCTTCATCCTCATTATCTTCCCAGGACAAAATATAAACTCGTTTCCGGGGCATTTTGAGACAAGGAAGACGCCCCCCCCCCATCCTCCTCCTCCTCCGGAAAGTTTGAGGACAGTTGGTCAGTCGGCGCCTGAACTTTGCACAGGAAGGAGATCGCTGTGGAGGTTGTCGATTGGCGAGACCTTTCTTGTTCTCGTCTTCGTTTTCTTCTGCTTTCGTTTTCGTGGTTTTCTTCTCTTTTTTCATTTTTTGTCGTGTTTTGTTTTCCTTTCATTTTTGTTTTCTTCCTCCGTTTTGTCTATTTTCTTTCGTTATCTTCTTCTTTCGTTTTCTTCTTTATCTCTCGTTTTCTCCTTTCGTTTTCTTCTCCTTTCTCCTCCATCCCCTTCGTTTGATCTTTTTCTCACTTCCTCTTCGCTTTCTTTAATCAGCCTCTTTTTCAAGCATTTTTCTTTTATCTCCTATCTGTTCTCCGTCTTCCCTCTTCCGTTGTTTTTTTCAATTCTTTACTCCTTCCGTCTCCTAGCACAAGAAGGTTAAGGCTGTGTATCTCTTATCTATCAACGTCGATCGACTGACGCGAAGAAGAAAGCAGGAATCGCGTGCATTCCAGGATCCTCCATTTCACCCGCGCTATTTTTTTCCAGTAAACTTCACGAAACACATTCTCTAATTTTCTCTCTTCCTATCTCTCTTTTCACTCGCTCTGCTCTGGTCTCTCGCTCTCGCTTTTACTCTTGCTCTTGCTCTTGCTCTTACTCTTGCTCTCGCTCAAGAGACATAAAGAGAAAAAAAAGAAAACAGACACAGATCGACTGACAGACTAAAGAAACACTAAAGATAAAACACAAGAGACAGAAATAGAAAAAGAAAAAAAACAGACGTACACAAAGATCAGAAGACAAATAAAACACGCAAGACAAAATATGAGACACAACAAAACAAAAACAAACAAAAACAGACCTATATATAGACTGGAAGACAAAAACCCCTCACAAGACAAAACACAAGGAGCAGAAACACCAAAGACAAAAAAAAATCAGATTCGCCGAGGCAGTTGCGACAGCCGAGCGCGGGAATCCGAGCGGCGCCTCCGCTTTGCTTAGTGCGGATCGCGACGCATTCTCACGCGGCCGCTGCGTCCCGCGCTCAGCCGCCGCTCGCCAGGGATGAGAGGAATGGCCGGAGGAGGAGTGCGGGAGGAGGGTGGGGGTCGTAGGATGCGGGGTTGGGGGTCTCTGTCTGTCTGTCTGTCTGCCTATCTTTCTATCTACCTGTCTGTCTGTCAGAGTACCTACCCTTCCAACCCCCAAAACCTTAAACACAAACCCCGCATTATCCCTAAGAGAAAACCCACCAAACTAAACCACAGATGAATACCGAAAAAAAGACAAGGCAACGTTCCCCATTTCCAAAAAAAAAAAGCGAACGACAGGAAGGAGAGAAAAGTTAAGAAATGGGAAATGCCAAATTCAGAAGTTAAGGGGGAAAAACTACATGGAAATGGCGACCTCACACGAGTTATCGATAGCCACAAAAGTTACGCAAGAGGCACGTTCATATATACATGCGTACGTACATACACACGCACATACGTATAGACATGCATGCATAAACATATGAGCGCACGCACGCACGCATCTTCTCAGGCGCGCGCACACTATATCTAAATCTATATCTGTCCAATTATCCACCTAATCTACCTAAATCTATATCTATCAGTCTATCTGCCTATCTATCCATATATTTACCTACGTATCTATCTATCTATTTACCTTTCTATCTACTTATCTATCTATCTATCTATCTGATCTGCCTAAATCTATCAATACCAGTCTATTCCGCCGATTTGCAAACAGTGACGTAAGTGATTCTAAAACCCAAATTATCAAAAACGAAAAAGATAGCGATATGTTGCCATCAATAGTAGCAGCAATAGTGTTGTCATATAATTACTATGTGTCACGTAATCAATATTTCGTCCTTTTTATTTACCTTTTTATGTCTCAAAGGTATTGCATCAGCAAAGAGAAATAACATACGTGAACTGATATCTAAACATATTTATAAATAACTCATTGAATTCTTGAATATATCACAAAACCTTCTCATACAACACGAACTATACCGTTCACATTATAGCAATTTCCATCATTCGTCTATTAATAACTCTCTATAAATAAACGAGAAGATAATTATATTCTCGCCTCAAATTAGCACGCCAATATTGCTACAACAGTCGTCAGATGGCAGCGCGATGGAAGCGATAATTAAACGGGATTCTCTGCGTCTTCTCATTCTCTCTCGGGCTCTCGCTCTCGTCTCTCTCGCTCTCTTCTCTCTTCTCGCTCTCGTTCTCTTTCTCGCTCTCGCTCTCTCTTTCTCGCTCTCGTTCTCTTTCTCGCTCTCGTTCTCGTCCTCTTTCTCTTTCTTTCATTCTTCTCGCTCTCGTTCTCTTGCTTACCTCTCTCTTATACCCTCTTCTTCTCCCCTCCCTCCCTCCCATATTCCTCTCCCTCCTCTCTTTATCCCCTTCCCTCCCTTATCCCTTTTCCTCCCTTATCCCTCTCCAACCACCCCCTCCCTTTCCTCCTTCACTTACCCCCCCTATCCTCCCTCATCCCATTCTCTCCCTTATCCCTCTCTATCCCATCTCCCTCCCTCCCTGACCCCCCCCCCCCTCCTGTAGGGTACGGAGGCCACAGCAACAAGAGTGATTATGATGCCGAGGGCGACCCTTGTCACATGCCCCTTGCCCTGGCCTTGGTACTACTGCTCTTAGTTATCTCCTTTCCCTTTTCGTCCCTTTTCTTTGATAATCTGTTTCTCTCTGTTTCTTTTGTCTTTTCTTCGTTTTTTTTCTTTTGTATTTGTTTATTTTTTGTTGTGTGTGTGTTTAAGATTTTATTTTGTCGTTTCGTTTTTTCTGGTATTGCATGACTTTTCTCTTTGTCTTTATGCTATTTTGCAACAAATATAGGTTAATATATGCTTCTCGTTATGTGCCCCCTTTCTCTCTTTCTCTCCCCTATCCTTTCTCCTCCCTCCCTCCCCTCTTCCTATCCTCTCTCCCCTCTTCCTATTCCTA